GAAGAAGATTAACTCAAGTTGAATTGTACTGTGATAGCTAGGTGAATCCAAAATTATTCTGTTTCAAGAACCAGTATATACTTTTAAACTCATTTATCCAGTTACCTTCTTATTTAAAAGGAAGTGTTGACTTTCAGTATAAGATAAGCAGCTCCTAATGGAACTGACTGGTGGAGTTACACTTCTCTGAGGAAACTGAAGAATTCCGAGCACCTCGCGTGGATGAGCTCACGGTGACCCCGGGGAGCTGCCTGTGGTTGCTCTTAGAGCAAGTCGAACAGCTGTCCTGCGTTGCCCTGGAGCCCGGCTCCCTCCCTCGGAACATGCCTGTGGTCTGGGGCTGTTGCTGTGGGCCTGGGGTCATTGCTGTGGGCCTGGGGTCGTTGCTTCGGGCAGCTCCAGCTCTGCTCGGTGTGGCATTCTACGTGAGCCTGGGACCACTTTCATCTGACTCGATGAACTTCAGCTCAGCGTGAACCCCTTTTGTAGCTAAGCAGACTCAAGACACTTACTGACTCTTTTATGTGTGCGATAGTTTTAGGCGCCAAAGCTTAATGTTAGTACTATAGAACTGTCTTTCATTATATTTGAAATAGAATTGAAATAGAATAAGTCATGTTACTGCGAATCATAGGAAATGCTTGAAATTATTTTAAGAGAGTTGATTTGTTTTTCTTTTCCTGGGACTCATGCAGACCAACGAAGCAGAGAAACGCTCTCGGGAGAAGCGTCGGCCCTCCCCCGACGGCCTCGGAGATCTGCACCCTCCTCGTGTTCCTTCTGGACGTTATCCCCCTGGTGGGTCCCTCGCTGTAAAGAGATGGCTCAGTGCTGGCTGTTACTTACGTTCTTCTGAGTGTTGTCGGCCTTTATAGAAACCGAAACTTACCGAAGAGTATTACACATAAATACGTAGCACCCTTTCCATGTTTGTTTCAGCATGGAAGCTGTAGCCAGGTGTGATCTCTTATGTCTTTTATGTCCTTTTAATTAAAAGGGTTATAACTTTTGAGCCAGCTGTAAGTGGGCCGAGCTGAAGTTATGAAACCAGATGATGAACTGGGTGTCACCCCTCTATGACAGCTATTTAGGAATGAGAGTAAATGTATTTCCTAGTTAAAATCGTGCTTTTGGCGCATTTTCTGAAAGGAAACTAATCTCCTTAATATAGAAATAGTTGTGGCAGTTATTTTTTTACTAGAAAGAATAAAGCGACCTGAACGGAGAAGAAGAATGTCCATTGATTTAGATCAAAAAGAAATATTGTTTTGTTTTCTGACTTGGAAACTAACATGAAACAAACTTATGCTCTAAAAATATTTGGATTGTCTAAGGGGCCGTTTTCTAGAGTGTAAACTGGAAACACGTTAGTTAAAGCCGTGCCTTTACTTCACAGGAACTTTACTCTGAGGTGCAGACCCAGTACCTCCCGCAGGTGCTGGGCTGCCTGGTGCAGCCTCTGGCTGAGGAGATGGATGCGCTCAGCGTACCTGAGCTCACGCACGCCGTGAAGACGTGTTTCAAAGTGCTCAGCAAAGTCCAGATGCCCCCTGCCTACCTGGACACGGAGCTTGCAAGTGGAAGCTCGGTAGGTGCTGGGAGGAGCGGAAGTGGTTCCCTGGGCTGAAAGATCCTTGTGCCTTCCCGGGTAGGAGTAAAGACCGGAAGACGTATCGGCAATGTCTAAAATACACTTCTAACGTCCTCTAACGCTTTATCAAAGCTTTTAGTGTAGAAGTCACCCTCCTCCATGCCACCCCTTCTCTGGTACTTCCTGCAACAGCCCATCACTAAGCTCACGGTTAGACGTAGCTCACTGTCCAGACCTTCTATATGCATGTTTGTATATATGAAATTTTGCTTTTTTTTTTTTTT